TGGTAAATACACCAATCAACAGTGTTTTCTTGAAAACCAAATAGATGTAATAGTATCGAAACTTAAGATACTATTGTCTAGAAGCTTGTTTAAGTCCATATATTGACTTCTTAAATTTACACACTATAAGACCCTTTTCTTCTATGGAAAAACCTTCGGGTTTGATCCATATAAACTTTCTATTCTAAGTCCCCATTAAGAAAGGCCGTTTTATATCCATTTGATGTAACTCTAAATCATACTGAGCTACTAAAGCATAGTAATCCTTAAAGAATATTTCTTAGAAACATGTGAAAAAGTCTCCTTATAATCAATGCAATATTTCTGAGTATAACCCTAGGAAACAAGTCTAGCTTTATGTCGTTCGATATTGCCACTCGAGTCGCGTTTGGTCTTAAAGACCCATTTACACGCAACTCGTTTTGAACCTTCTGGAAATTCTACTAGATCCTAAACATTAATTTTTAGCCATAGAGTTTAACTCTTCTTTCATAGCATCAATCCATTTATGAAACTCGTCATTATTAATGGCTTGTGAAAACGAAACATGACCTTCATCAATGCTAGTATCAAAATCCAACTCTTGCAAATAAACCACATAGTCATCCGAAATAGTAGATCTTCTCACCCTTCTAGGTTTTCTTATTGCTATTCCACGTAGTTCATTTATGTTAATTGGTGGTAAGTTAGTCTCTTCATGGGGTACTACTTCATCCAAATTTTGTCCACCATTATTTTGTTCTTGTGGTTGTGGAACAATATTTAGAACAACTATGGATATTGGAACATTAATTGGTAATGGAACATCAACCCTTATTTCATTAATTTCCACAGTCTCTTTAGCACTCCCACTAACTTCACCATTTTCAATAAATCTAGCTTTGCTCGTTTCAACGATTCTACAACTATGATTAGAGCAGTAAAACATATACCCTTTGGACTTCTCTGGGTAACTAATAAAGTAATCGCTTACAATTTGAGAATCTAATTTCTTTTCATGTGGGTTGTATATTCGTGCTTCTGCCGGACAACCCCAAACATGCAGGTGTGCCAAACTAGGTTTCCTTCTAGTCCATAACTCAAAAGGAGTTTCATGAACTGCCTTACTAGGAATCCTATTTAGCAGATACACGACAGTCTTAAGTGCATACATCAACACAGATTTGGGTAATGATGTATTACATATCATACTCCTAACCATATCAAGTAATGTTCTATTTTGCCTTTCCGCTACACCGTTTGTTGAGGTGTGCTTGGGCATAGTATACTGTGCACATATGCCATGTCTTTCGAGGAACTTAGCAAACAGACTGAGATTTTGTCCCGATTCATCATACTTTCCATAGTATTCACCACCTCTATCAGACCTTACTATTTTCACTTTTCTGTCTAACTGCCTTTCAACTTCATTAATGAAAACCTCAAGTGCATTTGCAGCTTGAGATTTTTTCCTTGAGAAAATAGACATACCCATAACGTGAAAAATCGCCTATAAAGGTAATGAAGTATCTTTCTCCATTAAACGATGGAGCATCAAAGGGTCCACATATATCAGTGTGTATAATTTCAAGAAGCTGACTACTTCTTGTGGCTCCTTTCTTGTTATGTTTGGTTTGCTTTCCAGATGCCAGTTACTGTCATCAAGGGGAATCTGTCATGATAACCCCTTTTTAAATTGCAAAAGACGTCACCTTTTCCCTAAAATACATTAATCAGGAGTTGACCTTTCGAGAACCCACTCATAAAATTAGATGCCAGTTACCGTCATCAAGGGGAATCTGTCATGATAACCCCTTTTTAAATTGCAAAAGACGTCACCTTTTCCCTAAAATACATTAATCAGGAGTTGACCTTTCGAGAACCCACTCATAAAATTCCATGCCGACTCTGTAATCCTTTTTCTCTTATACTCAACGAAAAAAAACCCAAAATAACTTTCTACAACCAGTCGAAGTACCTTGTCTAGCTCTAGGAACCCAGGGGCCTTATGTTGATACTCAAAATTTATCGGCCCGATCTAAACCCGCTAAAGCAGTTATGATACAACCAATAGGACGTCATCCTCAAAGTCGAGATATTAAGAAGCACCTTAATCAAGACGAATGACGTTGACCACAAGACATCTCCCTCGTACAAGTCGATCTCATTCCAAGCTATGGGGTAATCACGTTGATATCTTCCAAAGTCCAGCTTCCTCATTGTCGATCTCAGCACTATACTAATGTGAAAGGAGTTGCCACTTAAATCCTGTACCCATCGCTCAAAAGGATAAGCAACTTACCCAAGTACGGCAAGTTGCTAGCATGTTTTTAGGACACGTGTCGATATGCATGCCGCTAGGCTCTCAGAAGCTTCCAAACATCCCAGACATATTATAAAGACCTGTTTTTTTTATAAATAGAAGGGTCCGTAGGCTTCAAATGCCATCAATTTCTACATCGTGTTCCAATCCAATTACCACTCTATACTAATTAAGCTTTCACTTATCTTTCTTGTTCCTCATGTTCTTCCCAGCCTTTGAAAGGTTCTTATATACACGAGGCCCGAGAACGGTCCAATCCATAAATAAAATCGTTGGTACAACCATCCTAATTCATCGACAATACAGAGTATATTTTCTTCAATACCTTTATTATTTTCATGCTAAAATCCATCAAAACACTAAATCATAATCTAGTTAACACAACATCGCTTTGGTGGCCCCGTCAACGAAAACACACATCGACATGTGCCTTGACTGTGTTTGTTTCGATTGATTTTTTTTTTTTCAAATTTCTGAGTCATTTCCTTGATATTCACAATGCTACAAACACCAAATATAATAATCAAAATTTAACAAAATGCATGCACAAGTATACCATTTGTAAGTAATTTATGCAATTATTATTGTACAGTATGTAGCAAACAAGCTTTGACTCTTCGAATGCTTAATTACCTCGTTGATCAACCAAGTCAAGCCATACCCATAAATTTCGCCCCAATTGATTCTTGATTAGTGTGGGATTAATCAGCCTAATTTAAAATAATACTAACTAGCTAGGGCATTGACAAAGAGTAACTAAATATAAGAATCACATATTCGAAAAGTACACTCCTACTGACCAANCGTTTATATGAATTACTGCTTTTTTTTTTTTTATTTATTTATTTATCTCCCTTATTAATTATTTTGACCATTCCACTTTACATTGCTAAATTTTGACTCTTGACGCACTGTAAAGCACACAATTTCCACGCACGCGACACTTTATAATGTGTCGCCCCCTTTCTCTGATTAGTGATAAGAAGCTCGTGGATTATTATTGCTTTTATATTCAAAGATTTACCTAAATAAGGAAAAAAAGAAAAGTCCACTGGTTTTCTTTATTGTGCTTTGATGGTGAGGCAATGGAACGGTGCAGATAGCTGGGGTGGACGGGCTCCGGCAGCTGGCACGGCCTTGGCGGCGTGGGCCGGGGCTCTGGTGGGCCTTTTACTGATTGTGGCCCTAATTTTCTCTTGTGCCGGCGGTGGGTCCCACGACAAGGCTGTAGCAGATTCCCATGCCAATACGAATGGCGGCACGGGGTGTGGGGCCGCCTGTGGCTCGGCCTGCGGGGGCTGAGCGACACCTCGTATATGTTTCATCTCATGGCTAGGTGTCTTGTATTAATTCCTAGATTTCTTTTTTTAATTTTTTTTCCCTTTTTTTCCTTTTAGGACATGGTTTTGTCATAATAGAGTTCTACCACTTTATGTAATTGATATTTTCATGGCACGGTCTTACTCCCGTATTACAAGTATATATGTTTTGATGGAATTAACTTTATAGGAAAACCATTTTATTCTATGAGCATTCATATCGAATAATCGAGAAAGAAATTGAGTAGCGGAAGTGTACCTGATTGATTCGTCTTGATTGATTGGAATCGAATTCGAATTTAGCTTGGGATTTTAAGATCTTCTAAAAGGCCGTGAACCGTATTCTCGATCTTCTTCTGACGTAATGAAAGATAATTGATGGAGAGAGGGACAGACTGACAGTTTCTCTTCTTATATATTAACGATGTATTTAAAAACACCCCACTTGAATTGAAGTCAGGAATTCAAGGGCGATTAAATTCTCTCATGTGAGAGGGCGATTTCCTAATTTAGGGTTTCCATTCGCTTCTGTAAGGGTCGATTCCATTGGTTAGGGGCTCTTTACCAATTTGGGGGTTTCTTGAAAAGGTGTCGGGAATATAATCAGTATGGCTTCTAGTTCGCGAGATGAAGGGCAAGGTGCGGAGGAGAAAATGACGCAGAAAATGAAACAGTTTTCGCTATCAGGGAAAGAAACGGGGGTAAGTGATATTGAGAACAATGACATTAAGGTGAGTGCGGAAGAATGTAGCAGGAGCCTGTTGGGGAAAGTGATTGGCAACAGAAGAGCGCCGTTGTTTGGACTGCGGAGAGCAATGACATCTATATGGAAAATCCAACAATCTATGGAGGTAAGAGAACTTAGGCCTAATTTCTTCCAATTTATTTTCGAAAACCGGGAAGATATGCAGAAGGTTCTGTCAGGGACGAATTGGGTGTTTGAAAATCAATATTTAATTCTTCGGGAATGGAGAAAGGGATTATTGGGAGAAGATGAATGTTTCCAGGAGTTAAATGTCTGGGTCCAAGTTCATAACGTTCCTTTAGACTGGGTGAGTGCAGAGGTGGGATTGAAAGTGGGCCGAGTGTTTAAAAGTGTAGAGAATGTAGTGATTCCTTTTGTAGGAGGAAATGGTGGCAGGGTTATTTGGCTTCTAGTGAAACTGGACATCTCCGAATCTCTACCTAGGTGTACTTCCATTAGACTAGGAGATGAAGTTACTATGGTCACTTTTAAGTACGAGAAGCTGGTAAACCTTTGTTATTATTGTGGGAAGATAGGTCATCTGGATAAAGATTGTGCCATTAGAATTAAAGACATCAAGGAGGGGGGATTGAAGGGAGCTCAGTTTGGGGAATGGATGAAGACTGCTGAGATTAGAGGGGGTGGCGTCTCAAGTAACCAGGGGAGGTCTACTGAAAAAGACCAAGAAGGGGAGTCTGACATCCCTATTACACAGGCATCATTGGAGGAATCAGTGCTGAGAATTACTCCCAAGATAGGCACATTCTTGACTAATGTACTGAAGGTTGGGCCTAATACTCAAAGCAAGCCTAGTTTGGTAGATTCATCATCTCCTCAGAAGGATCTACTCAATAATAGCCAACCAAGTACAATAAGGCTGTGAGTGAAGATAGACAGGGTACAAGCCCAGCTCCAGAGATCAAAGAAACACATATCACTGCAGTGGAGATGGAGACTGAAAAAGAGGGGGAGTCTAACACCAATCCAAATAAAATGAAGGATCCCCCCAAAACCTGGAAAAGACTGTCTACCATAGAAGGGAGATTACAGAGGAAACCAGTGGCCTCTAAGGAGGTGAGCTGTCGGACTAACAAGAGAGGAAGGAATCTGGTTGTGTTACATGCAATTGAGGAGGGAGAGGAGATGAGAGGGCCAGTGAATGTGAAGAAGATGAAGAAAGTTTCTAAAGTAATGGAGGTGGAGAAGGCCAGCCTAAAATGGCCCCACAGTGAACCATGATAGCTCTGGTGTGGAACTGTGGAGGTCTGGGTGGACCCTCTACAGTTTCCCAAATCAAGGAGTCAATGAGGACCCATCACCCCCATTTTGTGTTTATCTCAGAATCTAAGAACACTAATGGTTTTGTTACTTCAGTATGCAAAAATCTTGGCTTTGGGAGAAGACATCATATAGTGGAACCAGTAGGATTAAGTGGAGGATTACTTTTGGGATGGAGCAATGAAGTGGAGATCAATCAGATACTCAGTTTTCCCTATTGTATAGAAGTGGAGTTTACTCTGAACTTTAATGATCAGTCCAGCAAGATTTCATTTATTTATTTGAGTATAGACAAGAGAATAAGGGAACAACAATGGAGGGAGTTAGAAAGCAGAAGGAATGGATGGGGGAGTACCTGGTGTATAGTGGGAGATTGGAATTATGTGGCAAGTGTTGATGAGAAAAAGGGGGGTATAGTGAGATATTTGGCCAGTATGCAAGGGTTTCAAGAGTTTATAGCCAATATGCAGATGGAAGAGGTTAAAAAGAAAGGTTACCCCTATACATGGGGTAATAATAGAGAAGGGGAAAGCTTTGTAGAAGAAGTCTTAGATAAGGCATTTGTATCTCTGGGGTGGCTGCAACAATACCCTAATACTCAAACTACATCTGTGATCAAGACTTCTTCAGACCATTGTCAACTGATTCTGGAAGCAGAACCAAGTGGAGTTAGGGTGAAGAGGAGGTTTCAATTTGATCGAAGATGGCTTCTAAGGCAAGGTATCCAGGAGGTTGTGGAGGAAGCTTGGGTAGGTACTCAAGTAGGAACCCCTTTGTTCAATGTGAAGGAGAAAATTAAAAAGACAAGGGTAGCATTATTGAAATGAAGCCAGAACTTTAGAATTGAACACTCCAGTACAATTCAGAGACTAACACTGAGAATGGAAGAGATGAGGATGGAAGGAGGCAATAGGAATTGGATGGAATGGGACAAGTTACAGAGAGAAATGAATGCTGCTAACCAATCAGAAGAGATATATTGGCAGCAAAAGGCAAGAACACAGTGGCTCAAGGAGGGGGACCAAACTACAAAGTTTTTTCATGCATATGTGATGCAACGGAGGAAACAAAATGCTCTTTTTAGATTGGTGAATGAGCGAAATGAAGCATTGGAGGCACCTGAAACCATTGAACAACATGTTGCTGAGTACTATGAAGAATTGTTTACCTCAAAAGGGTTAAGAGGAGGAGAAGAATTGCTGCATAACCTACCAACTACCATTACAGAGTCCATGAATGAGGATTTGCTGGCTCATGTGGAAGAAGATGATATTAAGAGTGCTCTGTTCTCAATGAATCCCAAGGCTCCAGGACATGATGGTATGTCTACCCTTTTCTTTCAACATTTTTGGCCTTGTATTAAAGATGAACTCTGTTTGGCTATGGGTAGTTTTTTCTTGTCTGGGAGAATGTTGCCTTTTTGGAATCACACTCTGATCACATTGGTTCTTAAAATTACTAATCCAACTGCTCTGAGACAGTTCAGACCAATAAGTTTATGTGCTGTGGTGTATAAGATTGTCTCTAAAATATTAGCACAGAGGTTGAGGAACAGCTTAAGACATTGTGTAAGTGAGACCCAATCAGCCTTTTTGCCTGGTAGATTACTGAGTGACAATGTGGTGATAGCACAGGAGGGAATACATTTCTTGAATAGACACAGGACAGACAAACACAACTATATGGCAGTTAAGCTGGATATGATGAAAGCATATGATAGGATTGAATGGAGGTGCCTGAGGTTAACCCTGCTCAAAATGGGGTTTGGTACACAATTTGTTCAGTGGGTTATGGAGTGTGTTACATTTGTGTCCTTTGCCTTTATTCTGAATGGGAAGGTGAGTGGGTATGTCTCAGCATCTAGGGGATTAAGACAGGGAGACCCACTGTCTCTCTATCTGTTCATACTTGTTTCAGAACTACTGTCTGCACTGATTTCAACAGAAGAACAGAGGGGCAGATTTAGAGGGCTATCTGTTGCTAGAGGTGCTCCAGTTCTAACTCACTTATTATTTGCTGACGACTCCATTATTTTTTGCAAGGCAGATGCATATCAGGCTCAAGGATTAATGTCATTATTGGCCAAGTATCAACAGTTCTCAGGGCAGAGAATAAATCTACAAAAGTCCTCAGTGTTTTTTGGCAGAAATACCTCAGTGGAAAGGCAGAGAGAGATCTGCAATATTCTGGAAGGGATTTGATATAGCCACATAAGGATAACCAAGTCCAGAAACTCCCTACTCGACCGGTGAACCACTCGAACAGCTCTCATGTCGACATGACTCTGTCGACATTCTCACATCGACTTCCCTAAAGTCGATTCTACTAAGAGCAACCGAGAAGGAGCAGAAATTGGTCTAGTCGACTTCCCTAAAGTCGACCTTAGTCTATCGACTTTCACTAGTCGACATCAATTGGAGAAGAACATCAAGAGCGTAACTCCCAAGCATCTAGATACCCTAGGTCGACTTCGTCTAGTCAACTCAAAGATGACGACTCTCTGAAGACGACTTCACCGCAGAGGGTTAAACCAAGTGTAGCCTCCGAAGCCGCACATATTCATAAGTCGACCTCTTAGCCCTCGAGGTCGACTCTATACATCTCGAGGGTTAAAGCAGTAAGGACGATTCACCACACTTATAACATATCCGAAACCCTATACGGTACAAAGGATAAGAAGGAATCCTGAGATGACTCAGCAGCAAAGGGAAACGAATCGACCAGGGCATTTTGGACCTTCTAGGTCCACCGACTTGGGCATTCTGGGTACTTCAGGTAAATATTCACTCCTATATAAAGGTGGTGAGGTAACCCTAAACCCTAACTCTCATTCATTCCCACTCTTCCCCATAGCTGCTGCGCAGCCTCTCTTCATCACTCTCATACTGACTTGAGCGTCGGAGGCTCTACGCCGAAAACACCTCCGGTGTTGAGTTTTTGTAGGTATCTCACGGTCCAGCAACGATTCGAAGGCGGTTCAAGCAGATCTGAGCTCACATCCACCGGTTTACTCCAGAATCTGGAAGTAGACTCATCAGGATCCAACCTCAAAGATCTACCAGATATCTGGGAATGCCTCTGAGGATAGGGCAATTCAAGAAGGAGATATTTGGATATGTAGTGGAAGCAGTCAAGAACAGAATGGTGAGCTGGAAATCAAAATTCCTATCTACTGAGGGTAAGAAAATACTGATAAATTCTGGATTGAGTGCTTTATCAATTTTTGTCATGAGCTGCTTTAGACTTCCTGAGGGCATATGCAAAGATGTGGCTAGGATATTTGCACAATTTTGGTGGAGTAAAGGCACTGAGCAGGTCCCTGGAATCCACTGGAGGAAATGGACTTTACTTTCAACTGCAAAAAAACATAGAGGATTGGGGTTTAAAGATGTCAGATTGGTTAATGATGCTTTGCTTGTCAAACAACTATGGAGGGTGGTGTCCCAACCACAGCTGCTCATGAGCAGAATTATTAAGAGCATGTATTTCCCTCACTCATCCATTTTTGATGTTGATACTAAGAAAAACTCTTCTTGGCTCTGGAGATCATGGTGGAAGGTTAGGTGGTTACTCCACAAGGGACTGCAGGTGGAAGTGAGGAGTGGTGGATCAGTAAGGGTGCAAGATCATAATTGGGTGCCTGAGTTGGAGTGCAGAGGACCTAAATTGAAACAGCCTGGGAATGATAAGGAGTTTTAGGTTCAGGACCTCATTTATGAGGGGAGTGGACAATGGAATGTTCAGAAGGTTCAGGAGTTATTTGAAGAAGATAATGGGGAGGCAGTGCTCAGAATCAATACCCTAAATCCTGATTGTGATGATAAATGGAGCTGGAAATTGAATAGGACCTAGAAGTTCACAGTGGCTTCATCTTATGCTTATCTGAGTACGAAAAAGCTGTTGGAGTCTGATGTGCCTGAGGGTAGCTCAACAGGTGAAAGAAATCAGAAGGTGAGAATGAGACGTTGGAGTCTGAGAGTGAAAGGAAAAACAAAACATTTCATCTGGAAATGTTTTTAAGGAATTCTACCAGTCAATGTGAAGGTGAGGGACAATGTCATGGTTGATGCTATATGTTCTGGTTGTGGAAAGGAACCTGAAACTATTGAGCATGTGTTTTTAAAGTGTGATAGAGCAAGAAGAGTGTGGCAACATGCACCTGTCAGTTGGGATGGGCTGGAAAGGGATACTGGAAAATTTGAAGATTGGTGGGGACTGATTTGTAGTATTGAGGGGCCTGAGGTAGCTGAAGCCAGGATTGAGCTTACAACGTATATATTATGGTGGCTTTGAAAATCTCGGAACCTTTGGTTGTTTGAGAAGAAATGGTGGCCAGAGGCAGGCATAATGAAAGCAGCCATGGGGGAATGGCAAGAAGCTGAAATGGCAGGTAAAGTCCACAGAAGAGGAGTTCACAGTAGCTAAACTAGGTCTGCTTACATTAAGTAATACAGTGGTGTAGTGTCTGTGTAATTTTCTTTTTTGTTTATATGTTATGGTCTTTGAGTATTTGAACAGTTTATATAGCACTGAAGGGGTCCAGTCTTTCAGCTGCCTTCGGTGCTCTTAGTTTTGGTTGTCTAGGCTACATCCTGTGTGTGGTGTAGTTCTCTCTGGTTTATGCCCTCGGCTTATTGGGTTTTTCTCCATTTGTATTCGGACTATGTACCTTGTTGATTGTGTTATATGAGTTCTCCTATCGTT